CAATTCCAATACTGGGATTTTACCCTAAAGAAACCATCACCGCCACCCAAGCAGATATATCATGCACACCCATGTTTATTGTGGCTTTGTTCACAATAACAAAGAGTTGGAAACAACCCAAGTATTCATCAACAAACAAATGGATAGAGCAGCTCTGGTATATTCTCATAATGGAATACTATGCAGCATTGTAAAACGAGGACTCATGAAATATTATGCAACATGGATGACCCTGGAGGACATTATGCTGAGTGAAATATCTCAGTCACAAAAGGCCAAATACTGCATAGGGCCACTGTTGTAAAACAGTACTGATATCAGGGTTGAGGGAAGACAGAAAAGGGAGGAATGATGTTTATTGCATTGAAACAGATAAGTGAGAGAACTGTTTAAAAGGAACATATGAATGGGTATTCTTGTCATTACACAAGTCCAGAGTGAGGGCTGCATAGTGGAGTGGACTTGGGGGAAGGGACTGCATAACAATGAAAGTTTTTCTTTTCAAGAAGAGTCAACTGGGGGGTGGAGGGGAGTAGGGAAAAAAGTGCAGCCATGAATGACTGGAAACACTAATAAGCCTCTAAACTTTTATTAAAATTAATTAATTTTTTTTTCAAAAAAGGTATGTGGTTCAAATCCACAAGCTGCTCTGCCAAAGGAAGATGAGCAATCACCTTTCCTGCAATTTGCTGCCTCTGAAAACTGGCTGGAGAGTCAGCTACTTGTCCATGGTACACAACAACAACGTATGGTTACTTTAACACTCACTTGTTTCTTAAAAAGTTACTATAAGGTCAGTGTCATATTTGTTTTACCTGAACTTGTTTAAATTAGAATTATGTAAAGTTTTATTGCAATTCAGACTTCTATAAATCCTTTGGCTTTATTTCTCAAAGTTCTATCACAATTATTTTTTTAAAAAACCCCAAATCAGGCAAACTACAGACAAAAGTCTCTTAGCAGGTATTAGGTGTTGAAGAAGAGACAGAATCAGTGACTAACGGGCACAGAGCTTCTGTTTGAGATAATGAAAGTATCTTTGTAAAAAGAATTGTGGGACGATTGCACAATCAGGTGAATGTAATTAGGATCTCTGACTTGCATACTTAATGAACCATCCAATAAAGAATCAGACTAGAAGAAAACAAGAACCTGTCCTTAGATTTTTAAGGACACCACAGCTATGTACTTTAATTCAGCAAACCAAATCAAAGAATTATATATGCCAATAGGCAAGAAACTCCACAGTCTTGATGTAACAGAATTTATGTGAAGGAGCTCACATTTGGCTTAGGCTAACATGTGATATTTCTAGAAAAGGTCACTAACATAGCAATCCAAATACCAAATGTCAAATCTAACATATCAAAAGGAAGAAAAAGATTCAGCAGTTGTTACTTTGTTCATATCCTTCATCTCAGGAAAGGAGCAGGGAGAACAGAAGAAATCAAGCTGGGGACTAAAAGGACAGGGAAGATGTGAAGCATGTGAGTAAACCCAGGCATTCAGAGAAAAACCAGGAGTAAAGTTGTGAGGAGTGATGGCGGCCAGTGCAGAGAGGGACCAGACCCAACGAGACAGAAAACACGCAAAAAAAAGCTGGCCAGTTTCATGGGGTCTCAAAGCCACTGCAGCACACTCCCTTCTCTCTCTAGAAGGGAATCATGCCATTAGCGCCCACTTTCTGACACCTCAAGTACAAGGCTTGTAGAGAGGATGGTTAATAATATGCCTGAAATTAATAATGCAATTCACCTTTACAAAGTAGGTTAAGAACTGACTTTGTAATACAATCTCATTTTGGTGGGTTCTAAGATTCTACCCAACTCCTTACAGTGGAATATACTGCAGAGCCAGTCACAACCAGCATCTACCGGACTTGAAGCTTCACAAGTTGGATTTGGGGCCCTGCTCTTTGTCAGCCAGTATAAGATTATGATCTCTGTTCATTTAATCCAGGAGTCTTCAGTTATTTTCTGTCATGACATTGCTTTTTGTGCCTCTATCTCACAGATGGGGACTATTTATAATTGACTTTTCATCACAGCTTTGGAAACCAGTTGTGTTGGTTTCCAACCAACAGAAATGAGTTTTCTTTTTTTATCCCATAGAAGCAAAAATTCTGGTTCAGTTGGTGATCCTTAACCAGTTTTTAATATTTAAAGGGCATGGGTAATGATGAGTTAATTTATGAGCACACTGGGCAGTGAAAACTTTAACTTTAAAAATCCTAAGTAACTATATACAGTGCCACCCAAAGGTAATAAAGGAGGTCGGAATTGCTTCCACTGTGGAAAGCTGGGCCACTTCAGTAAACAGTGTCCCAGACAAGAACCACAGATAGGCAAGGGAGTAGAGAGGAAGCTCCCACTCACTTGTTTTAAGTGTGGCTCTGAAGGACACTTGGCCAAGGGTGGCCCACATCAGGTCCTTGTGGCTGACAGGACTGACAGGCCCCAGCTCCCAGCTGGAAACAAAGGAGGACGCTTCAACGATTTAGATTTAGATCCTCCCAGAAGAGCTGTGGGTGAGCATTAACATTACTGGTAAGTACATTCGTTTTCTCCTGGACACAAGAGCCTACTATCTGGTCCTAAAAGCCTTCTGAGGTCCTAACTCTTCTCACTATTTCTTAGTTGGTGGAATTTACGGAAAACCTCATAAGCAGTTCCTTACTTCACCTCTGCCTTGCTTGCGGACTTCTGAGTTGTAAAACAACCCAGTGGTAGATCGAATTTGCTCCAGGCCTTAAGAACAATAAATGACATAGCTGAGTCTCTACCTCTTGTGGTTCCTAACCTTTATAATACAACAGACAAATTGCTAGTCAATAGGCCTTTTATTGTAAGAACCACCTTCTCTCTGTAACTTCATTGGTGCCACTATTAGCCTCTACCTGGAATATTATTGCTTTTCAATTTTTGTCTCATGTACTTTTAACTTGTTAGTAAAATTTGTGTCTTCTAGGCTGCAACACTTCCATGATACATCTTCAAGGATATGAACATGCATGGCTAAGCACAATCGGTAACAGTGCATCTAAATTCCAAAATCAATCTCCACAATAGTCTACGTGTTTCCTATTGCCAAAGGGACCCTTTCGAGTAGTGAGAGAAGATCTTCACCCTGAAACCTACAGCATCCCTTTCCAGCAGGAAGTAGCTAAGAGAATACGCTGTCCCCTTTTCCTTATGAATCAAGGGGAAGTCTCTCTCAAGGAGGAGTGATAGGGAATGGCAAAGGACACACTGACAAAGGAGATTAATCAGAACTGGCTTTGACAAGCACTGTGGCAATTGGACAATTAAAACAGACTTTCAAGGAGGGAAGAAAAAAGAATGAACTGGGGAGGAGGGTAGAGAAAATAGTGCAACAATGAATGAATGAAAACCCCAAATCTCTGTAAATGTTCATTAAAATTAATAAAATTTAATAAAATCATTCCCCCCCAAAAAAAATCCTAAGTAACTTCTTCAGCTTATATTTGGCATATTTTAAATAAAAGAAACTTATGAGTCTCAGAAAACCTGAAGAAATACTCAGCTAATTTTAAAGCAAGTATTAAAATCACCAGCCTGAAAACAGAAACTGCATTTGAAACAGAACTAGGATGTAATTAAGATAAATGCTCTTCAAAAATCTCCCTTAAATAACATAGTCCATCTAGATGGTTAACCAAATTATCTCTAGCCTACTGCTCCAGTGTGGAGCAAACAGAAAATATATTTGGAAAAAGTTCCTTGCTGAGGTCAAAGGACCTCTAATTTTTTTTTTTTTGGTAAATTCTGGTTCACCTTAAGCTTGGCATCACATTATCACTGTACAACACAGATGGATCTGTGATAAACTGTGCTAAGTACAGAAACCAGTCACAAAAGGGCAATTATGGTGCAAAACTACGAATGCAAGTCTAGGTTTACACCATGGAAATGTTCAAACATAGGAAGAAAGCCCAGAGGGTTACTGGGAACAAGTGGAGGGGAAGAAGGCAGGAAACAAGCTGAGCTAAGAGAAGGGTTATGGTGTTTGATTGGACACTCAATAATTAATCAATTGGATTTAATGTTATGAAAAGTTCACTAATGGTTCAATAAAATAACAGTCTGATTTCTAAAACTTCCACCCAAATAGCATACACTATGTATAGTTATATATCAACATGTGCTTCATGTTTATGTTTTTTATATATTTAACTATATTCTCCTGTAATATATTTATACAGATGTTTTTATGTTTACATATGTAATTTTCTTCTGGATAGTTATTATATTCTGTGAATATTTATACACACATAAAAAAAACCAACAGAGAGAGAGCTCCCACAGGCTTCTCTGGGGTCGGGTGGTTACAGCCCAAGTTCTAATATTTCACATTAAGGTTTTTGTTTCTAAACACTAAAACATTTTTTTTTTTAAAACATTTTTTTTTTAAAACACTAAAACATTTTCATTCCTCAGCTGTCCCACAGGCTGCTCAGGATTTCTTAGCCTGGGCCTGCAGGGAGCTCCCAAAACCGAGCGTAGTGTGCAAACTTATGTGTACCCATACTTTCGAGGAAAGGGAGTATGCCATGGCTATAGTCTTTTTTTTGTTTTTTTAATTTGGCTATAGTCTTTTTTAAAAAAGTCGGAGAAGGCTTTTTTTTTTTTAAGTCTTGCCAAACAGATAAAAAATTTCAAAAAGGTCTTCTATTTCCTTTCATGGAGGGAGGTCTATTTCTTTCCAAATGTAATTTTCTAATAAATCTATCTTTACCATTTACTTACCCTTAAAAAAAAAGTTTAAAAAGGCAGAGAGGCTTACATTTTAAGTCTGCCATCACTGTTAATAAACTTAATGAAAACGAGGATTGACCTAGATCCTGACACCAGTGTTCTGTCTACCTGGCTCACAACGGGGATGTTAATCATGCGAGTGTCCTGAATGGGGATAGTCACCATGGGCGTGTTCTGAATGGGGAGTTCAGATTGGGGGGCTCTGCATGGAGTTCGGGTCCGTACCTGGGTGCCGGCTCGATGAGGGTGGTAGTGTCCAAGTAGTGGATCTTGTAAAACTCCAGCAGGGCCGGCAAGTGGTCGAACTCCTGGTCTCCGATCTTAAAGCGGCGGTTAGGCAGAGAGTTGATGATGTAGTGGGAAACGCGCGAGTTCTCAGACACCGACAGTACATAGTCGCCAGGGCAGGTGGACGAGTCGCGGACGAGGAACACGCCGTGGCGCTGGCCCTGCAGCCGCGTCTGCGCCTCCTGTCGCGACACCGGCCCCATGTACCAGGCCGAGCGGTCTGAGGAGTCAAACCTGGCCGAAGACATGGCGTCCAGCCGGGGAGTTCTGGGACCGGTGAGGGTGCTGGTCACTCTGCAAGTCCTCTGCCCGGCGGACAGCTCCGGGCTCGAGAACGGGCTCGAGAACACAGAGACGCGCTCACAGGGCTGGGCCCGCGCTCTCCCCAGCGCGCCAAGCACGCAGCATCTTCTGCCGCCCGCCCGCTCCGAGGCCGCCCAGAGGCCACGCGGGGGAGAACCAAAAGAGAGGGCGTAAACCAGGACGGAGCAGAGGCCGCCCTAGGGGTCTCGGGGAGGCCGATGAACCGGGATTGCCACCAGGGGCTCTGAGCCCAGAATAGCCTGCCACCACAACCCCGAAAACGGCGCACCAACACCCACGGGCACGCGAAGCGAGGGACTCCCAGGAGCGTCGCGCCTCCGGGGTGGTTTCGCCGCGTCCGTTCCCCAGAGCCAAAGAAACAAAATGGCGGACACGGGAGAAGCAGCGGGCCACCTCCCCCTACAGGTCCGCTCAACAGACTTGGTCTGCGCATGCGCGCGGAGCGCAAGCTCCCAGCTGCCCCCGGGCCCTCCGCGTGACGCCATGCGGGCACGTACGGCGTTCGACCAATCAGAAGCACGAGCGGGCTGTTCCGGATGGTGCCGCCGTCTCAGGCTCCCGCGTTTTGGAAGGAGTGGCGGAGGCAGAGGGCACTCCCTGCCTAGGCTGTGGCGCGCCGCTGGGGGCGCTGCAGCCGTGAAGTTGCCCAGCGCTTGGCGTGACCCGGAAAACACCTGGATCGGAGACGGAGCGGCATTTAGAAAACCGGCTTCTGGAGAACAAAGAGGGATATGCGGAAACTGTGACAAACAGGCCGAACCTCTCCCTGGGATGGCACGCCGCTGAGGTGACTAGGTGGGCAGAAGTACTTGACGGAACCCAGTTATGAAAAGGAATGCAGGATCTTGTGAGGCACGGTGAAAAGAAGGTGGGCCAGCAGAAAGACGGTCCGCCAGGAGGCCCAGGTTCCACAAGCGCTAAAGTGGGCGTGAAGGTTGATTGACAGAATGACCTGGTCTGTCCATTACTCAATGATGAAAGCACTCTACCATCACCTTCGGATTCGGCCAGCATCTCAGACTTAAATCTCCGACACTTTTCTCTGGTTTACTACGCCCCAGCCGTGCCCTCCTAACCTATTTTCCACTCCCACTAGAATGTGCATTTTAACAAGGATGGTGCATCACCTCTGGAAAGAAACAGAAACACAAGCCAAGACCCAGATCCGATTTCCTGTGGAATTTTACTTGGCTCTTTTTACTCCCAGCTTAAACATATCCTCGAGTGTAGGACGACGTGTTGTGTCTGACCTAGTAAGGGGAATACCAAGATCTGATGTCATCTGTGATTCAGCAAAGATGAATTTGTATCTTCCCCAAATATGCTGGCTTGTGCTAGTAGTCTCAGGCACAATTTGAATAGCACAGAATTTGAAGATGACTGCTTGGATTCAAATTCTTCCTCAAATGGTTGGCTGGCTGAGTATCTTGGGCAAGTTAGTTAATTTTGCACCTCAATTTAATCTATAAAATAGGGATACTAAACCACCTCAGTAGAATTACGAAGGAATACAGATTAACATATGTAAAGTCCTTAGAACTTCCAGCAGCAAGAAAATTAAAATACAAATTGCATTGGGAAAATCGGCTGTCAGAGACTTCTCCAGAGTACTGAAGAACAATGATATCAATCTGGAGACTAAGGTGTGCCTGACCCAATTACAATTACTTGCTATGTGGGGGCTGCAGAAGCGCCGGCGGCGGTTGGCGGTGGCTCCGAGGGCAGAGAGGCCACATGGCGGAGGTGCTGCTCGTGGTGCTGGCAGCCACGCTGGGCATCGATGGTGCCTCGGGGCCGCACCACACTCATCGAGGGCCACTGCTGGATGCAGGGCGACAAGGTGCTCATGGAGGATCAGTTGTCCAGCCTGAGCACCCAGTTTGAAGTGGACTCAGAGGACAGCGGGGGCAAGTACGACTGCATCTTCCTCCCAGAGGACACGGGCAAGGCCAGCATCTCCGTGGAGGCCTCCCCAAAGTCTTTGCTGTGTAGAAGAAGTAGGAACATGCCAACAAGGGTGAGACAGTCACCCTCAAGTGCAAGTCCAACTCCTCCCCACCCATCACCAGCTGGGTCTGGTTCAAGAAGACTGATGCAGAGGAGCAGCTCATCACCAACAGCTCCCAGAACAAGTTTCTGGTGACCTCCTCCAACACGTAGACTGAGCTGCACATCAGCAACCTGGACCTGGAGAAGGACCCAGGCGTGTATGTGTGCAACGGCACCAGCTCCACAGGCACCGACCAGGCCTCTATCACCCTGCATGTGTGCAGCCGCCTGGCCACGCTCTGGCCCTTCCTGGGCATTGTGGCTGAGGTCCTCATGCTGGTCACCATCATCTTCATCTACGAAAAGCGGAGGAGGTGTTGGATGATGAAGACGGGCTCTGCACCACTAAAAAGTGGGAGTCACCAAGTCAACGACAAGGAAAAGAATGTCTGCCAGAGAAATGCCAACTGAGCCCTGGCTACCTCCCAGGACAAAGGAGGAGCAGTGCCTAGTCACAGTCCTGCCTCCCCAGCACCCATCCCAGCATACGCACCTCTGGGTTGTCTGAGAAACATGCCTGGGAGAGCCACCTGCTTCAGAGCCAGTCCTGTCCCAGTTCCTCCCCCTCCAGCCCAACTTGGCTTTCCCGCCTTCAGAGTCATACTCAGTCAAGCCTCTCACGGGGTCTCCTTTTCTTTCATTTCTTGTGAACCCCAGGGAATCTGTGCGGTCCAGGCTACCTGCCAGCCTCCCACAGCCTAAACTGCCCCTCCCACTGGTGCCCAGTCTGCTGTGCAGGCCCAGCCATGCGTGCTGCCCCGTCTGAAGCCCTAGCTGTCCACTCTGTGCTTGGTTGTTCCCAAGTGTCCATGGGTGCGGCCTGGGCTCAGGAGCTGGGTACCCCCACACTCCCAGGACCCTTATGTGCCAACTCAGGCCTCCCAGCCCGGGCTGCCTGGACAACTGGTGGGGGCCTGCCCCACCTGACCACAACCCAGCCCCTACCACCTTCACCTCACTCTCCAATAAAGACTCCCTCCACCTTATCTAAAGAAAAAAAAAATTTGCTATGTGTCAAAAAGCTGGATAATGACTAGGGATGATAGAAGGAGAGTTGATGCCTTTGAGCTGTGGTGTTGGAGTACTGAATATACTATGAACTCCTAGGAGAACAAATAGGCTCGTCCTAGAGAGGGTGAAACCAGGCTGCTCCTTGGAGGCAAGGATTCTGAAACTTCGTCTGTCATACTTTGGACATATTGCAAGGAGGGACCAGTTCTTGGAAAATCATGGTTGGGAGGGTGGAGGGACAGTGCAGGAGGGGAAGACCCTTGAGAGATGGATTGATTCACTGACTGGGGTAATGGGGGTAGGTATGTCAGAGACAATAACGTTGGCACAGAATAGAGCAGGTTTCAGGGCTGTTGTACATAGGGTCAGGTTGCTATGAGTCATAAGCCATTCTATGGCACAAACAACCACCACAAAGTCCTTAGAACATTGCCTGCCATGCTAATTGTGCCTCATTTAAGAGGTTTTCATTATTTTTCAATGTCTGTGTGAGTGAGTGAAGTTTGCGGAAGGAAACAGTGTTAGGTCTTCGCACTGGACGTAAGGCCAAGGACTCAAAGAAGGGACGAGAGAAAGAAAAGAAACTAAAGAAGCTTTATTAAGAGGCCTGCCAGGTGGGATTCCTTGGTCTACAGAGAGAGAAAAGAGACAGGCAGAGGGACAGACCAGGGAAATACCACACTCTAAGGTTGGATAGGGCAGGTTTTGTTTTTGTTTTTTGGGGACAGGTTTTATAGTACGGGTCTTTAGGGAGGGAAGGGAAGACATTCCATTGTGATTTAACCAGGTGGGTGGTCTTCTAGGGAGGGAAGAGAAGGGCACTCCATGGTAGCAAAGGCTGTTCACCCCTTTGTTGACATGTTGATATTCCTTGAGTCCTTTGTTCTCCCTTTGATCTTGGTCCAGGCTTGACATCCCGGCCTCTTTACTGAGAAAAAAAGGGCAACATATTCTTTCTAGCTACTTCCTGCTGAACAGGGACGAAGATCTGAGGCTCAGAGGCTGGACTGGGATGGCCCAGTAGCCAGGGGAGAATATGGATATCACAGCAGCTGGTTCAAGTTGGTCATTTCTTTTATCCTGTGAAGTAAGAAATCAAAAAGGCAGGGAGTGGTTAATGACAATATGAAAAGCTGCTTAGGACTTGGGACCTGAGTGAGGTGAAGAATAGTGGAGGGAACAATTAGTAACAATGTGAAGAGATACTTAGGGCTTGGGATTTGAGTGAGGCAAAGAGTAGTGGGATCCACCATTTGAGAGGTGTATGAGGTCTGCTCAGTGAGAGGAGCATGTTTGACCAGGGAAAGGTGGTCTAATGGAGGTTACTTATGACCTTAACCGCTGTGGAGGTAGTTAGGGTGACTATGTAAAGTCTATCTTAGCATGTCTGGAGAGGTTTGGGTGCATGGCGTTTGATGAGGGTGGTGTTTCCTGGGGTGACTCCAGCTGTCTGGTCTAGACTTTCAGGTGAGGGTATGGGTATTCAGTGGTCTTTGTGTTCCCAGAGTAATTATCTAAAGAGGGAAAGGTAAGGATGATGCTTTAAGAGGGAGTTCAGTGGGTTGGTTATGGTTCAGCAGAAACAGTTGGCTGTACATCAGCTCAAAGGATGGTGAGCAGGGTGTTCCTTGGATATGGGCTAAGGAAATAGGAAGTAAGTTGCTGCTTTCCACACTCTGTTTATGGAAACTACAACATAGGCTGCTTAATGGTAACCTTTAGAGGTTATACAAGAGGTACTGTTAACAGAGTATGGTCTGGATTATGGATGGGTTGATCAGATAGGGAGAGAAGTAGAGCCCATATCCTCAAGGACTTCAAAGCAGCCATTGTCATAATACGTTGAGGGGTGGGTTGGTCAGAT